AGCTTAGGGCATGACAATCTGAAATAGAGAGAGACTAAGCTCAGCTCAGTGTGTGTGTGTGTGTGTGTGTGTGTGTGTGTGTGTGTGTGTGTGTAGATAGATAGGTAGATAGATATAGATATCCCTAAGGCAGGCTCCTGTTGATTTACCTCCTCCAGCAACAACTTACATACCTACAGTTACCACTCAGTAAATCCATTCAAGTGGATTAATGAACTGATTAGGTTAAGGTTCTCATAATCCAATCATTTGATCTCTGCATGTACTTGCATTGTCTCACACTTGAGTTTTGGGCGGACATCTCACATCTAAATCATAACAGTCCTCAAATGCATGGTATTTACCTAGTCTGACCCATCTCTGCTGGCCCAACTTTGTTCACACAGCCTTTCCTGAATCTGACTGAATTCAATATAGATTCCTTACTTGGATTACATGAAATTTTTATATTCTCTCTCCCTCTTGCTCTTAATTGACTCCCCAGAGCATTTGGCTCTCTTTCTCATTTAATGAGCCTAATAGCAGAATTCTACTAAGCAAATAATCATCAAACATTTTTCTATTTGAGAACAAAAGTATAAGAGAGGTAATATAGTTCATTACAAGGGCTTCTTTCTCTTTCCCATTCATTGTTCCCTTTAGAATTAAATAGTAGAGTAAGATTTCTTAATCTTAATAGTCATTCCCCATTATCCACAGGAGATAGTCCAAGACCACAGATGAATGCCTGAAACCATGGTAAGTAACAAGGCCTATATACTATATTGATAACCAAGATGAATACTAAGTGACTGACACAGGTAGGTAGCATATAAAGAATGGACACACTGGACAAAACGTTGATTCATGTCTTGGGCAGAGTGGAGAAGAATAGCATGCGATTTCATCATGCTATACAGAATAGTGAACATATGAAATTTATGAGTCATTTATTTTTATTTAATATTTTTGGATCATGGTTGACTATAGCTAATTTAAAAACTACAGAAAGTGAAACTGCAAATAAGGGCCAGTTACTGTATTGACCCTTTGGGCTGGATAACTCTTTGTTGTAAGACATCCTGTGTATCATAGAATGTTTAGCAGCCTCCCTGACCTCTTCCTACTAAATACCACTAGTATCACTTGTCTCTACCCAATAATGGATTCTTGCAGGATCTCCAATCTGCAATACACTCACAAGCCTCCCAGGCTTTTTATTGAAATCTTAGTAAAAGACTTTCTGACAGCACCATTTGGTTGATGTCAAAGTAGCTTCGGCCAATGTTAGTTGCACCCCAGCTAACTTAAGTCACAGCTTCAGGGGCCTTTGCATGCTTTGCCAGCTTAGGCAATCCTTGACTAGCAGTATCCCAAAGCTCCCTTCACAAAAGACTTCCATAGAAGTTCTTTGAAACAATTTTTACCTTCCACCCTTCAAGAAATGGAGTCTACGTAATTTCTGAGATTTCTTCCAGTCATCTGTCCTAATGTCTGTGTGCAAAGTATCTAGCTATGTTAAAACATTATTAATCTCTTTAGCAATTGCAACCTCTTTGCACCTTTACACAAATCTTTCCACTCTGTTCTATTTTGCTGTGGATTCTCATTGTAAATTTGTAGCCAGCGATGCCCAGTCCACTGCATGAGTATTTTGCTGCCTTGAAATTTTCTTTACCAGATAAACTTGTCCATTGCCTTTAAGTTCAGCATCCTGTAAAGTCTTCGGGCTTGGGCATAATGTATCTAATTCCTCATTGTGTAAGCTGGTTTGCCTTTAGTTTAATTCCCAGTAGACTTCTGGTTTCCATGTGAAACCTCATCAGCATAGCCTTTACCATTTGCATTCCTATTAGCAGTCTAGTCATATGAGTCTTCAGCAGAATGGTGCATTAAACTTCACATATAGCTTGCTAGTCTTTTTCGAGCTTGATTCTCCAAATTTTTCCACACCCCTCCTGCAAACCAATTGCAAAGGTTTTTCCACATCATCAGGTGTAGTCACAGCCACGGCTCCACTTCTCAGAGCCAGTTCTCCAGGTTAGCTCTCTGTTCCTCTACCAAAGACCTGAGATAATCAGCTTACACAGAGAGATGTTTCATTTTGCTCACATTTTTGGAGGCTTCAGTTTATGTTCAGTCCCCACTGTGTTTGGTCCTGTACTAAGGTAGACAGCATAGGAAAAAGTGTGGGGCACTCTCTCCTCCTGGCTTGGGTGAAAAAAAGAGAGGGGAATTAAGGGTTGGAGTCTGCTTACACACTTCAAAGACATGCCCTAATGACCAGATGACCTCCTTCTTGGCCCCATCTCTCCAAGTCTTCACCACCTCCCACTATGTTGGTTGAAGTCAAGGTAGCTTCTGCCAATGTTAGTTGCACCCCAGCTTACTTAAGCCACAGCTTCAGGGGCACTAAGTCTTTAACACATAGTCCTTTGGAGGCTATTTAAGATCCAAAGTATCCCTGTCTCATCAGTAAGGAACTAGAAGTGTGAATTCAAATGGCTAAGTGGCAGAGTTTGGAATAGCAAGCAGGTTGTCTGACTTTGTTAAAACTATATTTTTATCCGTTGTTCAAATCTAATCATTATCTCCTTGAAATTCAATCACTGTCTACTTGAAATTACACAGTCCTGGTTTGTGCATGAGAATCATGTTAGGAAATATATATATTCAGAGTCCTAGGGCTGTTAAAGGGAAGGGACTCTCAGACATCGCTAGACTGTGACCACTGGTTGACCACAGCTAATCTAGAAACTATAGAAAGGGAAACTGCAAGTAAGAGCCAATTACTATATTGACCTTTTGAGCTGGATAACTCTTTGTCGTTGGACATCCTGTGTATCATAGGATGTTTAGCAGCCTCCCTGACCTCTTCCCACTGAATATCACTAGCATCACTTCCCTCTACCCAATAATGGATTGCTTATCCCCATTCCATCATTCAACAAATGTGTGTCAAAAGCTTACTTTGTGCCAGGGTCTCTGTAGATCAGTCAAGAAAGACAAGGCCCCTGCCCTATGGAACTTGCATCCTAATAAGATAAATAAGCAATAAAAAGTAAATAGACAAAAAACAAGGGAGTTACAGGTGGTATTCAGTGCTGGGAAGGAGATAAATGGAGGAGAAAAATTAGGGGGCTTCATTACATTAGGGTGCTCTGGAAAGCTATCTTTGGTCTTGCTATATCTAAAAAGCACTGTGCATGTTATATTGTCTCAAAAAGTGTTGGCTCCTCTCCTTGAGCACCTGGCACAGTGTAGGTGCTCCTAAGCCATGGCTCTATGGAAATACCATGATGTTTTCTTCTCTGTAGCTTCATGGTTTAAAAACCTAAAGTAAGTGTATTGATTTACTGCTGCACTAAATTACTACAAATGTAGTGGCTTCGAATAGCACATATTTGTTATCGTAGTGCTTAAGAGGTCAGAAGTCCAAAATCCACAGTGTTAGCAAGACTGTGTTTCTCCTCCTAGAGGCTCTAGGGAAAAATCTGCTTTCATGCCTTTTCTGTCTTCTAAAGGCCACCTGCATTCCTTGGCTCATGGCCCTGTCCTCCATCTTCAAAGCCAGCAGCAGAACATTTCCAGTCTGTCTCTCTGATTCTTACCATCCTAGCTCCTGCTTCTAAAGACTCTTCTAATTACACTAGACTTGCCCATGTAATCCAGGTTAATGTCTCCATTTTAAGATCTTTGGCTTAATCACATCAACAAACCCATAGTGATGTAAGATAATATATTCACAGGTTTCAGGGATTAGATCACCTTTGAGGGGTATGATTCAGCCTATCATAGTAAGCACTAAAAGTAAATTCTATTCTACATCTGTGCATTTTATTTTACAGATGAAAAACTTAAATGAATTGCCTAATCACATTTGGTGATTGGGAACCTGGTGGTCACCCTAAGTATCTCTATTCTCTATATCCAAGCTCTGTCTTTCCATGAGAGCATTCACAATTTACATTTCTTTGGTTTGTTTACAGAAATGCAGAAAGCCACATGACTTTTATCTACCAAAGTTTTGCTATCATGCACTCTGTGCCTGACAAACAATGTCTACATTCCTACAATGTTTTCGAATGAAAGAATGAATAATCTGTTACGTGCTTGGGTAAGAAGTAGTCAATCTCCCATGAATTCTTTTGTGCAGCAGCTTCTGACAAGTTACAAGCCCTCGGTCATTTTTAAAGCATCAAAAGAAAAAGTCAGCTGCAATGTTGGCCATAATTTGAGTCGGTAAAGGAGGGACCCTCACCTGGCATCCCTTTCTCTCCTCCTACTGCTGCTCTTTGTTTTCTGGAGTGCCACAGGCATGGTGGATTTGAAAGTAGTCTGTACCGAGAACTCTGACATACAGCTTTTTATTTGTCACTGTGTTATTAACATCAACAGTCTCTGGGGAGAGCCTTGGCATTCCAGAGAGCCTTGGCTCACTTCATTATTTCAGTTCAGCATTAGAGGAAGAAGGAAAGCAGAAAACTTAACTACAGGCTTCATGATTACATTAGGAGTTCTTTATCTGACCTTATGGAAGTAATAAAGGAACAAAAAAAAAATCACTAAGCCGTTCAGTAACATTTTTATGGGATTTACTTCATAAGCCGCACAGCACTTAAATGAGAAAGAAAAAAAGCAGAATATAAAAGTATAGGTCATCTCCAACTCAGAGAATGAGTTCTCAGAAGTCTTGAATGAAAGTACGTTATGCTAAACCACTACGTGAAGGAAAACCAAACAAATGCCTCCCGTTACCATGAAATTGTATTTATAGTATGGACATACTTCACCTCGCCTCACAGTTTCCTTGATCTTGCCTAATGAATACACTGTCACTGTCTGGTCAACTGTGTTTTACATCTGACATCTTTTCTCTTAGGAAATGATAGACCTGTCACGGAAGGTGTGATTGAAATAACGAGAACATATGAAGTCACAGGGAAATATCTTCTCTTTCAGTGTTGCTTCAAGATCCCAGATTCTTAAACCCGCTTTTAATGTATTTACTTTGGTTCTAGTGGCCAAGGATGTCAATATTCTTTTTGATGAATTAGAAGCTGTCAATAGTCCTTGCAAAGATGATGATTCCCTCCTTCACCCCGGAAACCTGACCAGTACTTCAGATGATGCCAGCAGATTAGAAACAGGGGGAGAGGTAAGAGTGTATGATTTCTTTAAAAAAAAAAATGTGAAGTATGTTCCAATGGACCGTTAAAGTCATAGTCCCATCAAACTCTAGGTTTCTGGAAAACAAGGGTTTATCTTTCTTTGATGTCCCCCATGGGTCTAGCACATTTTAGGAATCCTAAATCTACCTATGCTCAAAACAAACTTCCAGTAGATCATACACTTACTTTCTTAAACCTAGAAGCATCTCATGTATACAAAGGATGATTCTTAAAACTGTCTACTGGTTTAAGATCTATATTCCTGGTGCCATAAGTGGTAAAAAGTATAAATCCCCCAGCACATAGAATAGTGGCATAAAATGCACCAGCTCTCCATAGATGGTGTTGTCTGGAGCTGATGCCTCTTTGAGTTTCTGTTGGCTTCTGTAATCTGGAAACATTGCAGCTGAAAATAGACCTATCTGTTATTAGTGTGTCATTTTAGGAAAAGTATTGTGTTAGAGGCACTCACTATTTCTCAGATTATGTCTTGGTGAAGTTGAATATTTCCTTTGTACATGCACCATAAGTAGAGGTGATAAGCACACAGAATCAGAATAATTTACTTATTGCCCATTGCTAAGGTTTTGTTATTCCAGAGACATGTAACAATGGACAGAACGATGCCTAGGCAGGGGAAACTGTTAACTTCTACCAAGCTTTGCAGACCTCTCCCCATAAGTTCCTTAAACTACTATCCATGTCTTTTCTTTCTTTTTAAAAAAAGAAAAATTTCCTTCTGTCATCAGCTCTTCACACAGATACTTTGGATACCATAAGGTGGCATAGTGAAGGGGCAGGGAAAGGGATCTCAGGAAGCAACTAGTCTCATCCCCTTAACTTACAAAGGAGGAAACAGTCTCAGAAAGATCAGAGCTTTTCTGAAGGATCACAAGTTGTCATTCTGCTCAGGGCAACCTTCCTCCCGATACTTACTCATGACTGTAGATATTTATTTTATTTTTATTGCTATATTATTACTATTACTATTTCTGTGCTGGGAATAGAACCAAGGGCCTCACATAAGCTAGGCAGACACTCTACCACTGAGATCTCCTCTCAGCCCAAAGCCCTGTTTTGGAAAGCAGCTGCTGATGTGCTAAATCCACAGGATACTTTCCTTGCTTGGCAAATCATTGTGAATGAAGTGTTTATTCAGGTAGATTCCTGAGGGCATCATAAGACAAAAGCCAAAGGGTGGTGAGTGAGGATTGGACACTGTTTGAAAACATCTGTTGAGACATTATGCCTGGGCACTTCTGTTTCCCTGGCTCAGAGCTTTCTTCTGGTGAGGTTGCATGTATGATGCTTGTACAAGAATGTGGTTTCTAGCTTTGGAGGTCTAAAATGTTTGCCTTCTTCATGTTACTATTTGAAACTAATATATTCTGTGGCCTAGAAAAGATGGATTCCCCACTCTCACTTGGCCAGGTATATAAATACAATTTTGAAATCTGTTAGCCTGCCACATTCTGCTCCAGCCTGACCAGCACATACATGATATTCTCTTTTAGGATCAATATTACAAGCCGAGAGGACCTGGATGAAAATTCAACCCATTCCTTTAATGTTTTACTTTTTTAATATCTATAATATTTGATTACTGCAAAATAACATTTGTAACTTCAGTGTAAGTTATGCAGAGCAGCATGATAATAAAATGAACACCCTGAACCATTTTCCAATTTATGAAGTTGAAAGGTATTTTTTCAAATACTGGTGACAACCTCATCATAGGTTACTAACTCCAGTGATTGTTTTTTAATGCAATGGGAAATTTATAGTAGCATGTCTGTAAGTAGCAAAGAGAAATGTTATTGTGTGAAACTTTGGTCTCAAATACTTTTATATATGTGTTTACGTAGGTATCCAAAGATAATACAGTAAACTGTTTTTCTTATTGTGGAGAAAAAAAAATTGAGAAACATGGGACTAGAATATTGCTAAAGCCATTGAAACTACTTGTAATCCCATGTCTCTACCCTACCAGAGAAGTACCATCTTCCTGAATTTAGTACTTTATATCCATTTTGCTGTAAAAATAATTTTATCACATACATATGTAGTTTTAACAACATACTTTTAGATTTTTTTAAAATTTTGTGTTTTATAAAACATGGTATGAAATCTTAGAACTTACTATTTTTCCTGTCAGTTGTTTTTAAGATTCTTTTTTTTTCCTATTGTTGGTAGATGCAAGACTCATTTATTTTCGTGGCTCTGTAGTATTTCACTGTATGCCCTTTGTATAATTTATTTATCCATTTATTGTGTTTCCATAGACATCTGGGTTGATTTCCAACTTTTTAAAATTTTATATTAAGAACAATGTTGCTGTGAATATTCATATACACATCTCTTCATTGCCTTAACAAGAATTTTGTATGTTCTGCAAATGTTCAGTTTTGCCAGATAATGCTAGTGTTTTCCAATGTTAGTATATCAATTTCCACTCTCACCTGCAAAATATGAGAATTCTCAGTTGCCTCACATCCTTGCCATAGTTTGGTAGTTTTAGATGTCTTGTGTTTTCCCTATTTTAATTTTATTTGTTTCTTCTTGTTTAAATTTTTTATTAGAGAATGAAATTTTAATAAAATACAAAGAACAAAATCCATTTAGCTTTAATTTTTCTTTAAATTACCCACCTGAAGCTCAAGTTTATGAATGGCTTAAACTGGTCCCTTTCTCTTTGTATCCAGACAGTGCCAGAAAGAAACAAATCAAATGGACTTTACTTTAGAGATGGAAAGTGTCGAATTGACTACATTCTTGTGTACAGAAAATCCAATCCCCAGACTGAAAAGAGAGAAGTATTTGAAAGAAATATTAGAGCAGAAGGATTACAAATGGAGAAAGAGGTAAATAGCTTTTCTTGGATGAGAAAAATATATACGTCTATTCGTATCAAGTTGATTTTAAAAATGGGCAATTAGTCATTATGTTAACAGAACATTTGTTTGGTCAGAGTTTGCCAATCTTCACTATTTGGGGAATGTTCCAGCAATTAGACATTTGCATTGTATTTTGCCTTGGAGGGCATTGTAATGCCAAATGATTCCATGATGATGAAAATATCCTGTTCCAATTAAATGGATTATTTGAAAGTGTGATAATGTACTTCACTTTCTATATTTGCTGTTTCTCTGGAGATGTAAATGGAGGATGAAATGCTTTCATCCCTTCTGGAAGCCATTTTTATATTTCAGGAAACACCATTGGCTCAGGCACACCAGAAGAGACTGGGTGATTTGGCCCCAAACAGCTGGAATTTACAGAATGATTCTAGTTTCAAGAGACATTCAGTTTGTTGTTATCATGTTCACAAACTCAAGAGTTACTTTACCAGCAATTTGTTCTCTCCCTTCCCTGTCTTCTCTGCATGGAGAGTATTAAGGAAGAAATAAGCAAACAAGAGGCCCAGTCAGGGCCTCCAGTAATAATTCTCAATGGGCTTATTGTGTATCCAGAAATACTGTGCATATTTGTAGAACCTGGCCTTGTTAATCCATCTCAAATTTTCCCTAAATACTGTGTAAAGCTTCTATTAGCTTTTCTTAATCAATAAGGAAAACATATTGACAAATAAAAATGGCTTCTTTGAAGTCAGACATTAGGGTTTTTTTCTGGTGTGGAGGCAACTGCAGTTCATACAATCTGCAGGTTGTATTGAAGCACCAAATTAGAGCACATTTTGCCCACATAAATTATGCTGATCTTGGGAGACTTTAAATAAATGATATTTTTTCCAGATCTGTTAGACTGACCTCAACCCTTGAACATTTCTAAGACAGAAACAGTATTTTTCTGGAATACTTCCAAGAAGAGAACTGGAAAAACCATGGGTAGAGTGTCATCTTAAGTGAACAGTTTCTTAATCTCAACTTGCTCAGCGGACCGTCTCAACTTGAGGTTCCCTTAGAGCATAGACAGTATTAAATGTCTTGTTTTTTTCCCTAGCTTTGTGGGATTCCAGAAAATCTTTCCTATGCTAGTTGAGCATATCATTGATAAATCTTGGTCTTTAAGTTCTTATTGAGACAATCATATACTCTCTTAACATTAATAGCACATCAAGGTATTTATTCTTAAAAATCTTTCCTATTATTATTTTTTCTTACTCCTTAGTGGCAGAATTCTTTCATGAAGAAATGAAAGAGCTGAACATCTGCATGATGTGAAATAATCAAAGTCCATTCTGACTTTGTCACAATTCTGGTTCTCATCATAATAGATAGCTTTGTTCGATTGATGAGAGATTTTTTATTTTAAGCTTCATAACTAACCTCTCTCTTCCTAGGGTTTCTTCTGTATAGATCTTTTCAATGTCATTCTCCTGACTTATTCATTAAACTCAAAAAAAACCTATTACTTTTCTAAATAATATATATTACTGAAAAGCTTACAAGTCTCCTGTTGTGTATCCCGAGACATCATCTGTCCAGCCACCAGAATTGCAGCAGGAGGCTGCGGAGGAGAGTTCTGCCTGTCGTGCAGTTGTGCTACCCAGTGCAGAGTTGACAGTGGCGTGGCAGGTGGGATGCTAGTATCATTTTGGTTTTTGAATTTTAATAGCTAGCTATTTATTTTAATGTGCATTAGAAAAAAATAGCAATTGGAAAAACAGCAAAACTTCAAAAACAATTGTTTGAGCATCTCTCCTTTCCTCCCTGATTTCTTCTCTGAGCAGCTACTTCTCCATTTCTGCTTTTCCCTGCAGTCCTCTACACACCAACAACAGATGCAACTTCCGTTTTCTGGAACATTTTTCCTACGCAGCCTTTCCACTGCCTGGCTCCAGTCTTGCCCTCACACCCACAACCTTCACATAAGCAGCACATTTTGTCTCTATCTCAGACTCCCAGCTCTGCTTTGCATCTTCATGGCCTCTGCCAGCTCAGCAAAAGGGACCTTCACAGGTTGCCTTGCTTAGGAAGCAGCAGGAAATTATAGGTAAATTAATTCTTCTCTGCCACAAATAATTAAAATGTCCCTTGGTGGAACAATAAACAACTCTGTGTTTACATTGTGTTAAGATTTAGAAACCACTGGAAGCACTTTCATTTAAATCGAGTTCTTCATAAACAACTGCAGCACAGAGACAGCAATTCTAATGACTATTTCAACTTCCAGAAATTACTCCGACCTTTTATAAGACACAAAACACAAACCTTAGTTCAAGGTTGCGAAGGGAAAAAAAAAAAAAGAGAGAGAATCCCAGTGAGCATTCTATGAAACCATGATTGACACTGAGTACATTTTATGAATTACTGGTGACTTCTTCATTAGCTGTGTGTCATAACGTCCAACAGTTATGGAAAACATGTTTAGCACACCGAGCTTTATGTTTTTGAATGAATAGAGACAGGTTGTGTAGTTCATTTTAACACAAGAAAGTTCTTATCTCTTGAGAAGCACAATTAGGAGAATCTTTTATTCATATAAAAGTAAGGACACAATCAAACTTAATCTTTCTTAAAACCTTTGTTCCAGCCTGATTAGTCAGCAAGTATGTGCTTACCTTGGTACCCTGGGTCTTTAATATTCTATAACTCAAATTTCATATTAGCCCAGAGAAAGCAATTCATAGCAAAATTGCTGAATAAAACATCATTAAGTCCAAGTGATTTGTTTCCTAGTCTTTCTATTTAAAGGGATTCCCTTTTTCAAGAGATCACATTTCTTAATTCACATTTTGCATTTTCCCCATTTTAAATTCTATGTCTACTCTCAATCCTTTGGTACCCTATTCTGAAGTTGTTATCATTTGTAAGAGGTTTATATTTTCCTTTCTGTAGTCAGTCAAATCATGGATGACTTTTGAATTATTTGAGATGAGTGAGAAGAGGGTGTACTAATGGAACAGATCCCCACCTCCTTTGGAATCATGTGGAACATGAGAAAAGACCCTATCATTATAGCCATTATAAAACAACTACAATTATATAAATCATACCATCTGGATAATAGCTAATTCATTCAACAAATATTTATCACACACCCACTCTGCCAGGCATTGCTCTGAGCACTAGGAACTTAGCCATGAATAAAAAAGACAAAAATCCTTGCCTTGTTGGAACATAAAGCACAAAGTAAGAAAGGAAAGCAGGAGGCATTGAGAGGACCTTGCAATTTTATAAAATCTGGCAAAAGTGTGCCTCTCTTCAGGCGGGGGGGGGGTCCTGAGACAGGAAGATGCCAGGTAGGTCCGTAAGACAGTGAAGAGAATATCATTTGTAAGAGGTTTACATTGTGTTAAGATTTAGAAACCATTTAAATCGAGTTCTTATTCTTATATTGAGAATTTATAGCAGCAAGGCAATAGTAGCCAGCTGACCCTGGGGACCTTAACAGTTAATAGGGTAATCTAGTTTTTCTCTAAGGGACTTGGGGAGCTGTCGGAAAGTTTTGAGCACAAGTATGAGAAGATCTGATTTCTGTTTTATTATAGTTACTCTAGCTACCTGGTAAGATCAGACTGTGGGAGGGGTAGAGGTAGCAAGGGCAGAAGCAAAGGCACCAGGAGATTGGTTGCAAAAATGCAAAAAAGAGATGAAGGAGGCTAAGCATGTAGTAGAGAAGGGTACAAAGTGGAGTTGATGGGAATTGCAGGTGGATTGAGAAAGAAGTATAAGAGCCACGCAGTATTCACCAAGCAATCGGAACAAAGGAGTTGCCAGGGATGTGGAAAAGAGTGGGACTCAGTGTAGACTTCTTAACTTTGAAGTGTCCCAGTGGAGATGTGGGGTAGAAGAGTCTGGAATTTGAGAAGAGATCCGAGATATGTTTATCTGGATGAGATTTTACTGAGAAGGAGCCATCTATCATTGGGGAGCCAGGAAGAAAAATCCAGAGTGTACGGTGCCTGGAGCAGTGTTTCAGGAGGAAGGAATAATATACTGTACCAAATACTCCTGATGGAATAAGATGGAAACTGAAAGTTAATTGTTGCATTTCATAATGTGGAGGGTTCTGGGTGAGCTGGGAAAGAGAAATTTCAGTGGAAAAGTCAGAGTGAAAGCACCGAGAAAAAGGAGAAACAGAAAATATGCAGAAAACAAAACTGCTCTTTCAAGGAAAGCAAAGGAGAGAAATGAGGTAAGGAGTTGGATCAAGAAAGGGTTCTATTTATTTAAGATTAGAGAAAATAGCTGCATATTTTCATGCTAATAGAAATTACCTACTTGAATAGAAAATTCATGTTGGGGAAGAGCAAGGGGAGAATTTTTGGAGCAATGTCCTTGAAGCAGCAGGGGAAAAATGACCACAAGCTCTTCATTATACAGACCTCCTTACCTGTGTCTGTGCCCACAGATGCTACTCTCCCCTGGGCTAAGGATGTCTTCCTGTTGTTCATGCTTCTAGCTAAGGCCCACACTTATGCACAAGATCCCATCCCCTCAGCCCCACTCCAATACATTATCCCTGGAGAATTAAAGATAGTAAGTTTTAAAAACTAAAATGCATAAAATTAGGCAATTAATCAAAACAATTGTTTTGGTTTTCACAAGTCTTAAGGGACTTTAAAAATATAACTAAAATAACCGTGTGTGTGTGTATACACTTATATGAACACACACACACATACATCCATACTCATTGTTGGATATCTTGTAATTTTTCCTTAAGATGATGACAGAAATATTATCCTCAATATTTTCACAATGACATTTATTAAGCACTTATTATTATCATCTCTGTTTTACAGATGAGACAATTGAGGCAAAGCAGTAACTTGCTGCATGTGACATAGCAGTAAGAGAGAATAAATACAGGGCCAAAGCCCAGACCTACTTGCTCTTTACCTTAAATTGTGTTGATTCTTGGTTGCTAGTGGTGCATCTCAAGATTAAGAAGGTTA